ATCCGTCCCAAACTTTTTACTAACCTAATATTATCTGAGGCTGAAATGCTAATTCTGTCTCTTTTGTCTAAAATAAAGACTGGTTACAGTCACTCAAAAAGAAAAAAAAAAAAACCAACCCAGAATTCCTTTCACAAAAATTACACAAAATTGCAGCATTTCCCATAGTCTGTCAAAGACTTTGCTTGGGATGAGAAAATCCAAGCTCCTTCTCCTTCTGTGGGAAATGTAGCTCATCCTCTGAACAATGCAGCTGACTTATCCTCTTACAGAAGTACAATATTGATTTAAAACCCGGAGCCCTGTTCTGGCAATTTCCTTTCCCGAGCCTGATCTTGTGAGGACAGCGGCTTTCTCAGCTGCGGCTCAGCGAGCAGCCCTCAGCACGATGAACAAAGTCAGCACAGTCTAATTTTGGAAAAACATTTACGGTGCTATTTCTTTTTTTTTTTTGAGACAGAGTCTCGCTCTGTTGCCCGGGCTAGAGTGCCGTGGCGTCAGCCTAGCTCACAGCAACCTCAGACTCCTGGACTCAAGCGATCCTCCTGCCTCAGCCTCCCGAGTAGCTGGGACTATAGGCATGCGCCACCATGCCCGGCTAATTTTTTCTATATATTTTTAGTTGTCCAATTAATCTCTTTCTAATTTTAGTAGAGACGGGGGTCTCGCTCTTGCTCAGGCTGGTTTCGAACTCCTGAGCTCAAACAATCCGCCCGCCTCGGCCTCCCAGAGAGCTAGGATTACAGGCGTGAGCCACCACACCCGGCCTTACGGTGCTATTTCTAACTGTCTTGGGACCTGGATTATTCTTATTCCTGATCCAAAGTTCACGTAAACACTATAGAAAGAGAAAACACAATTTGTGCTTTGCTCACGTGGGTGTGGTGAGAAGCGGCATCTCCTCCCGGGTCCACAGTGCCACATCCACCCTCCCTTTATGACCTCAGTCACTTATTCACTCAATACTTGGAGAACATCGGCCTCACGCTGACGTGCCGCAGACACGGGGGTGCACCCAAGGAGCACAGAAGCACGCTGGGTAAAATCTTGCCCTGCAAGGGGTGACGGTGCCGTCGCAGCCCTGCGCGACCCTGCCCCCACCATCTGCGGCCTCACGCCCCTCAGGTTCCCATCGAAGCCTTCCCTGACCGCCTTCTACAAACCCTGGCCACGCCGCCTCCCTCCCTGCCCTCTTCCCTCTGACTAATCACCATTAAATACACCACCCGTTTTTCTTATTTACTGTCTGTCACTCTCTCCCACTAGTGTGGGTTCCAAGAGGAAAGACTCATCCACCTTCTCACCATCTCCCCAGGGCCTACAGAGGCCCGTCTCAGAGAATGTGCTGGAACTCGTGTCGAGGACTCAATAGAGCAGCTCTTGGTCTAATGGCAGATGCTGGGCCCTCACCTGTGCTGTCCAGCCCTCACCTGCGTCATCCAACACTCACCTGCGTCATCCAACCCTCCCCTCACCTGTGCTGTCCAGCCCTCACCTGCGTCATCCAACACTCACCTGCGTCATCCAACCCTCGCCTGCGTCATCCAACCCTCACCTGTGCCGTCCAGCCCTCACCTGCACTGCAACCTTACAAGAGCTGTACGAGAGGAATGGCGCCAGTTCCTGGGAACACAAAGGCAGAGCTAAGACTCTGTAGAACATTCTGAACGGTTGACAGTGGACCTGGGTGTTGAAGTATTTATGGGAATTTGCTAAACTAGAGGAGTCAAAGAACATTCTAGGCCACCTAAACAGCACGGAGAATGCAGGCAACAGAGAAGTGTTGACCAGACCCCTCATGACGGCGGGGCAGAGGCTGGAGGCGCTGCTGAGGAGCAGGTGGGGTCCTGGCAGGCCCTGGGGCCACAGCGGGCGGGGGCCCGGCCACAGAGAGCCCCGGCTGATTGCGGAGAGGGCCACAGACCCGGTTGCAGGGCTCAGAGTTACGACCAGATTGGGCGGGAGTCAGTGCATTGTCCACACGGGACATTCTGAGGCTCTGAACTAAGTCAGTAATGGAAAGAAGAAAATGAATATAATTCTTTTCATGACTGAAGTGAAATAAAAAAAGTTCCAAGTTCATGTCGAGGTTTCTACCTGGGATAGGTGGACGGTTGATGCCGTTTGCCGAGGCGGAGGTGAAAGGTAACGTACCCAGTTCTGAGTAGGATACAGTCGCTGGTGACAGTAATTCACTCTCACGAGGACCGTACATTAGTAGCTTAGAGCACCCTGGAGGGAAACCGCTGTCCCCTTGCAAGGCGACGGGGAAAGGCCCTGGGGTCCAGCACAGCACTGCTGAGAAGGGGCTGGTCCTGAGGGGTTTTGCAGAAATTGCTTTTCTTTCCTTCCTTCGTACGGTGTCTTCCCTGCAGCCCCCCACTGCTGACTCCACTCACCGGCAAGCGGGGGCAGCCCGGCGTCCTCTCCCGCCGCGCTGCAGGGGTGCTCCCGCGGCTCACCACGCCCGGCCGGCTGCCTCCTCGGCCCCCGCGGGGACCCTCGTGCCCAGCTCAGACCGAACGTGCCTGCTCCCGGCTTGCTCTTCTTCCACGCACGCGGGCGTTTACGATGAGGACCGTGTGGTCGCAGTTGCATTTTAGCTAGTTGATTTGGAAAACGCCTGTGACCGCCTTGTTGGATGATAAACAACACAGGCTGGGATCCGATCTGCTCCCCGGACCTCAAGCCCTGTGGCCGCAGCCTCTTCCCCTCCTGATCACCTCCAGGGGCGTTAGTGCCTCCTACCGGCTCAGTTTGACCCAGGTACACAACAGTTATTTTCCACCTGCTACTGTGCTCTGGGCCCACCCAGGAACACTGACAAAAACCACAGGCGTTTATTCGCGGCCATGTCACGAGCGCTAAGCGCCTCACACGTACTTTGTGCCATCTAGCCGACCCTGCGATGGGGTGAGCCCCGCGGCATCTCACAGCCCACGCCCCTCAGCAGGGTGCAAAACTGTCTGAGCCCCTCTACTCTCAAGAAATGCTCGGACTAGTATAATACAGATGCCCCACTTCTTAAAAGAATGGCTTGTTTAAAAACACACAGGCCGATTTTAGAGTGTCTGGGAAACTGCTCCCTTCCTTGACCCTCCAAGGCTGCAAAGCAAACGCGATTGGATAGGGACGCTGTTCAGACTCACTGGCTCACCAGGAAACGATGAAGACGCAACCCTGGCCTTGAGCCGTGTGCTTGCAAGATGACTCACAAGAACAGCCTCATTTTAAATGACCTCCAGGCATGAAGCTCACACTGAGTAAGGATACTGCCCGAGGACCTGGGGATCAGGTGGGAAACTATACCCCCCCCACCCCCAGACACAGGGAAAATCAACTGTCCCTTCGCACAAGCCCCAAACACACCAGAGCAGGGGAGAAGCAGGCACTCTGGCCGGCAAGCCCGTGGAAAACACCGGAGCCAGGAGCTCAGAGAAGGGGCAAAGGGACAAGTCCTGGGCCAGGGACCGAGAGGACACAGACTCCCCCCACGGCACTCGGGAAGCAGGCCCAAGCGCCTCCCTCAGCACGGAAAAGAAGAAACACGGGGGCTGCTTCGGTGGAATCTCTGCTAACGCCAGGTTCCAGGCTGCTGGAAGCTGTCACGCGTGTTCAGTGCCTGCCGTCTCAGGAAAACAGTCGCATGTGGGCCCTGTGTCCGCGCAGGGCAGGTGCCCCCCCCGCACCTCCTGTAGAGCTGGGGGGCAGCGCAAACGCAACTCAGGCTGGGATCACGCCTGCGACACCTGCCTTCCCACGGTCCCACCTGCCTGCTAATTCTCTGCCCGCCCCCCCAGCTTTGCCTCTTTGAATCACATTTCAGATGTGTCTCCCCCAGACGTCACGAAGTTAGGTTTTGGTTTGAGCCAATGTGAAAATCTCCTTTTCAAATGGGTGAGTCAGTTCACATGTATAGATACAGCTGATATTTTTTTAAAGATATGATTATTTTGAAAACACGGTTATTCTGAGGATTAAATATTTTTAAGCGCTGAACACAATGGCTGGTGCGTAGTAAGTTCTACTTTAAGTGTGTGTTAACTAAAAGAAATAGGGTAATATTAACCTGATTAAAACAAACAAAAAATATTTTAAAAGATCAGAGGCCAGGGAGGAGAATAAAAGGTAGTTTTGATAACGGCTCGGAGAACACCGCTCCACACAGGCGAAACCCCGTCAGAGCAGCTCGGGGCCATGGGCGCACTGTCCACCGACGTCAGAGCCGCATTCCAGCGCATCCAGAGGAAAGCGCGTCTCTGCAGTTCTGGGACGCACCATCTGAGGACAGCACCTGGGGCTACGTTTAAATTTCCAAACACACATCAGGAGCCTGCTCTGGCTGCCTCCTGATAGAAGGAAAGTGAGGGCTGAGATGAACCAGGCTGCGGCGTTAAGTTTGCAGGGAATAGCGCGCAGGACGTGCGCTGATGGGGCAGGGACAGCTGGTCGGCTGCTCTGTGAGTACGACCCGAATCCCCTCGGAGCACCAGGGGACATGTCCTCCTCCAAGGACAGGCTTGTGCCCGCTCCAGGCTGCCAAGGGAGAAGCTGGTGAGGGGACCGTGTCCTGGGTCTCTGGCCACGTGGACGAGACCCCAACCCTGAGCTAGAGACGCCCCCGGCCACCGCCTGGCTCCCGCTGTGAGCAGAGCTCCTGTCCCACAGACACCCACCCCAGGCAGGCGACAGGCTCGGCGAGGAAAACTCAACCAAGAGTCTCCTGAATTGGCACCAACTCCACGGTGCCTGCCTGGCCTTCTGAAGGTGCTTCAGAGCTTCATAATGAAGAAGAAGCACGCAAGCTCTGTTGCAAACACAAAGCAGCCGCCAGGCGTGGGCGAACACCTTCCCCTCCACGGGCTGCACGTCCGTCCCATTTCTACGCGAACTGCAAAACTCGATTCATGGCATTAAAGGAAGAAAGCAAAACAACAAAAAGGCTTGCTGCTAACAAAAGAGTTATAAACAGGAGACTTCACTTTGGAGCATTCAGAAAGCAGCGGTTTCTGAATTCCTCTTGTATTTTAAAACACAGAATATTTCCAAAATTTGGCATCAGTGCTTGATCTTTTTAGGTGGGGGGTAAAAGACGGGGCCGTCTTCACAGACCCGCAGGCCCTGGTCCTCGGCAGCTGCCCCCGCCAGCCAGGCCTCCTGCCCGGGGGCCGGCCGCTCGCCCGGCTCGGTGCAGTTCCGCAGCTGCTGGTCCTGCTTGGTGAGGCACAGCTCTATCTGCCCGATCGTCTGCACCGCCTCGCCCTGAAAGTGAAAAGATGAGGGACGTTTAGAATTCAGATCTTGAATTATCATCAAGGTTTTAGGATCACACAGCTTTAGAACTAACTGAATGTATCAAAAGCAGAGGCTCCAGCCCTAAGATTCCAGGCTCTGGGAACACACCCTCTTTGTTTAACATAAGGGGCGCTGAACGGGGACCTGTGGCCCGAGCTGACTTGGCTGTGGGCAGTGGAGCTTGGCCTGAGGCTCGGGTCTCCCAGCCGCCACTGGAGGCTTGTGAGGGGCCGTGAGTTTATCTTGGAAAAGACGAACAAGCAGTTTCTGCACGTGCACGCAGGCACAACCGCACACACAGCGCACAGACCGAGGTACTGGGGGAAGAAGTGGCTTTTGCACGTAAACAGGTGACTGGTACCCTACTGCCGGGAGAATATAAGCATCAGCTGATAAAAGATATTTTGTCTACAAATTAGACAGATAGCTGCGATTAAAATTATTAACACAAGCAACATAAAAACTCAGGAATTTTCTAACTTAGAAACGTTTAACTGTAGCAATACACCTACTTCCTTCTCCACTTTCCTTCTGGAACAGGCATAGTCTTGTCAGGAATAAGCAAGAAAACAAACCCTCCCTACCCAGCACGGTGTCAAAGAACCACACCCGCGCAAGCACACGGCACACGCCCATGCAAGCACATCACATGTGCGCCTGTGCACACATGTGTGCACATGCCGACACACGGACACACAGCACACACACGCCCACGTGCGACTCTGCCCCGGGAACCCACGGTGAAGACAAAGCTGCCAGGAAAGGACAACTTGTCCTCTTGACAAAGACGGGAAGGGACCGAACGCGGCCCGTCTGACCTGTCTTGGCGGAAGGCACTGGAGTTTGGGTACCACTCCGTATACTCTGGTAAGCGCATCTTTAAAATCTCCAACCTGGCATCAAACAGAAATGTATTAGAAGTGAAACCTCAACAGAATAAAATCTGACAGTCCTGGTCTACCCAGAGCGTGACACTGACGAGCGAGCGGCTGGCGCCGGCAGCAGAGACAGGGCTCTGCGTGGAGGGAGAACGAACCGCACACGGCAGGAGAGGACGCGCCGAGCCAGGCTCGTCCAGCAACCGGACCACGCGTTGCGCCCTCCCCACCTCCCACTAGTCCCTCTGCGGCCCAGCCCCCGTCCTCCCAGAAGTCCCACCTACACGCCACACGCCACAGCCTCTCTTGTCAACTGACTCCCGTTTCGTCTTTCCCGGCTCCCAAAGCTCTCTCAGCCCTGTCCACTCCAGACCTCTGTCCCCTCCCCCATCCCCACAGACAACACGTCCTGCTGCACAGAAGAGGGGCCTTGGGACACTCACCTCCCCGCCCCACCCTGCAAACTCTGACCGGCTCTGCTCGGGAACCCTCCACCATCGCTCTCTCCTGCCCTCACGTCCCTCAGCCAAACCTCCCAGGAGGACACTGCGTCCCCTCGGCCCCTGCAGCCCAGCTCTGGGGGTACCACACCCCGCAGTGGCTCCAGACGCTCCCTCTGCAGCTTCCAGGGCACCGGCTCCCGGACCGCCCCCTGCCGGCTGGAATTCCTTCCCTGCCTCCTGTCTTCTCTTTCTTGAAGGCTGAGTCCCCACCACCTGACGTGGGAGGCCTTGTCCCCCCCAACCAAGGCGTCCCTCGCCACCCAGGCCTGCCTTCCTGGACCTTGCAGAGGCCTCAAATTCAAACTGTGCAGGCTGGATCTGATCATCCTCCTCCAAGTTCCCGATGCCAACAAATGTCACTCCATGGAGGTCCAGGGCAGGACCAGGCATGGCCTTCCCTCTGCCACCCCCCACCCCCGCAGCCACGTCCAAGCTCCGCACACCGTCCCCGCCTCGCCAGCTGCACGGCCAGTGGTCCAGTAAACCCTCCCCACAGGGCCTCCTGGGAGGGTCTGGGTCTCTGTCTGCCCCCAGCCCCAGGCAACCACAGCAACAGCACTCGCCCTGCCGGCGGGTGAAGTACCCGGGTCCACGCTCCCACTTCGCTCCTTCCAGCCCTCCTGCTCCGCTCCCGAGCTCCTGGAGAGGGGTCTGTCCTCCCAGCCTTGCCCAGCTCCCCCTCCCCCAACACTCCTCCCAGCGTTGGCACAAGCTCAGGCCTCCGTTTCAACACCGAATTGCCCAGGAAACGTCTGGGTTAGGCAGCTCTCCTGGTGCTCCGGCAGCACTGATTTCCCCAAGAAACAGATAAGTGGACCGACCAGTGGCTGGAAGCTGGAAGCAAAAGCAGGAAATCTGACGATCAATCAAACTATAATACTTTCACAGGACAGGACCTGCCCGAGTTACCCGTCCATCGGGCTATTTCTAACCAAGTGCACGTAGAAGGAGCTCGACAAATGTGTCGTCGCGGTCGCTTTATCGTCTGAGTTCTGGGCAGAAACGCAAAGCTCATCCTCCGTATCTACGTGCACATGAGCCCAGGCGAGGACAGAAAGGGCCCTGCGGACACGCGGCTCGCCGCTTCCCGGAGGGGGCTGGGAAGAGCAGCTGGCGGCTCCTCCCTCACGGCCACCGTCCCTGCGCACCCCACTCCCCACAGAGGGGGAAAAGATCAACTGGAAAACCACTGCGCAGCCGAGCAGACGCCGCTGGGAGCAAAGACACGGCTGCTGATCTATTTCACAAACTGTCAACAGACCAAAACAACCGTTCGACGTCTAGCCACGACCCCGGAACTGCCCTACCGCTAAAACCAGCGACTTTCAACCTTTTCTTAAATCCACACCCTACGATAAATGCAAAAATCATCCCACAGCATCTGATATGTCTGCCGCACAGAGGAGACGCCACCAAGGCAGCACAGCAGGAGGGTCCCGCGGGCCGCCTGTGAGCCAACGTGGCCGTCTTTACAAGAGCAGCAACTCGAAGTCGAAAACAGCTGCGTTCTGCACACCCCGACCAGCCAGCGAGACTGGGTCATGCTTAAACTTCTATGCTTGCATCATTCAGCTTTATCAAGAAACAAATCACAGTTCTCTCACGAAAACAAAAAACAAACATGTTTTGTCCTCAAGCACAACACCACAGTATTATAAAACCGAACGTGCTCATTCGACACGCACGTTCCACCTGCCCACTGGCACCCGGGCACACGCTGCTCCCCACGTGCTGGGAACCTGTGCTCCAAAGGCAGTGGTCTAAGGAGCCTCCAGTTCACAGCCGACGCGCACAGAGAAATGAAGCTCAAACACGCTCTGTTTAAAGCACAGACGTTCAGAAGCAGCGGGGCCGGTGCTGGGTCCCTCCACAGCCCAGGACTGCTCACAGGAGGAAACGGCACTTCTGACGTCCCCAGGAGACACACATCAGATAAGAGGCAAAAGCAAGACTCACCTGGTAGTAATTGATAGACGGTGTTATCCCCAACTTTAGGAGCACGCTAAAATTTAAATTAAAAAAAATTAGCTGTATAATGAAAGTCCACTTTCCTGTATTGTTCTTTTCAAACACATATTTCATAGTAAAATGGAGACACTCTTAAAGGACTTTCTTCCTATTACTTTAGGCACTGTATCGGTCAACAAGGACAGCAAATTGGCGGCTCCCAGGCCCCCACTCTTCCCTCACCCTGAGTGCTCTGGGCACGCCTCCCAGGGTCCTTGCACCGAACCCTTCTCAACGGGGATTGCAGCCGCCACCAGCAACCGCAGCTGCACACGCGGCACACCTATTTGCCACACCTGTAGAAGATGTTAGCAATTCATTTAGGAGCCTAAGCTTATCCTAGAAAACTGCATTTGGTCAAATCTTTAAACACAGTCATGTACCACATAACAGCATCTGGTCAACAATGAACTGCAGGGACAACCATGGTCTCGTGGTCTCCTAAGATGACGCTGTAGTTTTACTGTGCCTTCCTATGTTTAGATACACAGTACTTACCATGCGTCACAGCTGCCTACAGCATCCAGGGCAGTAACATGCTGTGCAGGTTTGCAGCCCCGGAGCACAGGCTACACATACAGCCTAGGTACGTAGGAAGCGGTAGCATCTAGGTTTGTGCAAATGCACTATGTGGTGTCTGAACGATGAAATCGCCTAACGACGCATCTCAGAATGTATCCCCGTCCTTAAGTGGCACATGACTGTACATTAAACACCTACAGCCTGGAATCATTTCCTAAAGCTCTGCTACAGAGAATCCCATAGAGTAGGAACTCACTTATTAAACTACGCGGATCCCATTGCTTCTTGGCCTTTTGGCTGCGATCCAGTGTAGTATTAAATTATGGAGGTACCACGTAAAATTCTCAGGTTAATTATTCCGAAAGAAGACTCTGTAGTCTCCCATCAAGCTGTTCCAGATCATTCTAGATTGCGACCACACAGAGACCCAGGCTGCCTCTCCGGGTACTAACTTCTCATCAGACGGTCTCTGCTGCAGAGCTCCTGGAACGAGCAGGAAAGAGGTAACCAAGGGGCCTGTGAGCCGCAGACACCACCAAACCCTTGTGAACCTGCCCTGGTGCTGTCACTGTGGGGTAACCAACAGATCTCAAAGACTTTGTGGCAAAAGAAAATGTGAAATATCTCAATAATTTTTTATATTTATTGTAAGTGGCAATGATGGTATTTTGGAGCTAAGGTACATTAAATTTAATTTTACCTTTTTGTTGTTGTTGTTCTTTTTAATTTCACTACTAAGAAAGTAAAAATATCTCTGTGGCTCACATTGTATTTCCATCGGGCAGTGCCCTCCTGACCTAGGTGACTAAGGAAATAAGGCAGAGCGAGGCCTGGGCAAATCTGCACCCAGCCCAGAACACAGTGCTTCACGTTTTCCACTAGTTAAGGGCGGTTTGGCATCAACCCCTGGGTCTCTATCTGTGGGTAACCTGAGAACTTTGCTTTGAGACATGCTGCAGTTTTTCAGGTTTCCAGCCTTCATGTTATAAAGTGAATAAAAAAATCATTACAGTTGACAATGATTTGACAGGCTGACCTACGAGAAAAAGATACATAGTAATAGTGTATAAAGAAAAATCAGTGGTCTTATTTTAAATTTTGACTCCTTAATTTCAACTTTATGAGTGCTAAGAATTTTAGACTTTCCTTGGGGAAAGTGGGAAAGAACCTAACTTTTCTATAATTGTTCTTCTCAGTTCTTAGCAAACACTACGCTCCCAGCAGCGCTGCTCCCTCAGCAGGTCCTCAGGGAATGCTGGCCGAAGGAGCGAATGGAGGGATGAGCAGAGCTCGCCCCCGAGGGCAGGGAATGAAGGAAGGAAGGAAGGAAGGATGAAGGAAGGAATGAGCAGAGCTCAGTCCTGAGGGCAGGGCTTGCAGAATGAGTGAATGAATGAAGGAATGAATGGAGGGATGAGCAGAGCTCAGGCCCCGAGGGCAGGGCAGCACCAATCTTGCTGACACCCACGGGGACTCCAGGGCTTCCTGCGCTACCTGTGAGTGTGTACACCTGTCTTAGTCTGTTCAGTGTTGCTAGAAAGGAATACTCGAGGCTGGGTAGTTTGTAAAGAAAAGAGCTGTATCTGGCTCTCGGGTCTGCAGGTGTAAGCAGCTGGCGCCAGCATCTGCTCAGCCCTGGGGAGGGCTCTGGGGCTGCAGCGACTCAGGTGGAAGGCAGACAGGGGCCGGAGCTGCAGAGATCACATGCTGAGAGGGGGGCCAGGCTCCTTCTAACAACCAGCTCTCGGGGGAGCTAATAATTACCCCAAGGATGGCACCAAGCCATGCAGAAGGGGTCCAGATCTGCCCCCATGAGCCAGATACCTCCCACGAGGCCCCACGTCCAACACCGGGCATCAATTTCAACATGAAGTTTGCTGGAGACAAACCATATCCAACCATAGCAGTAAAGCTACTGAGTTTCAAAAAGTGTAAGTAGGAGCTACTTAATAAATATGTATTAGATAAAGAGATATATCATTTAGATAATGTATTTTAAAACTTTTCAGCAGTACCCACTTCTCCTTTTTCTGTTTGATTAAATAAACTCGGTGGCAGAGTTAGCGAGAACTCACACTACTAGTGGTTTGGGGCAGGATCGGACCATGAGATCCATATTTGGAAACGAGGGCATCTTCCCTTTCTCTCCAAAGTGGTCCTACTCTGTCGTCTTCCAGTAACGATAGTTTCTTATTAATCACACGTCTGCTGCGCCCCAAGAGCCACCACATCCTCCCAGTTAATGCTCATTTTGACTTCAGAAGTGCTTATGATGCACACTTTTTAGGTCAGGAAATGTCTCCTGAAGAATTGCTTCTTCTACAAGAAAATACTGCTTCCTCTACGAAAAGCCTACAAAGTCTACAGATCGAATCACATACGCTATATATACACAACCTATATACAAATCAAATGTATAGGATCTGCAACACGTCACTGCTGACGTAACCTTCTTAGCGTACGTACTTAGTAATGTGGAATTTAGGCCAGAAGAGACTCGGGATTGACAGTGACCCAGTCATTTCCTTTACAGCACGGAAACAAGACCTAACGTTAGATCACCAAACTGCAAGCTAGCTCGTGTCAGAACCACGCTCACAGGCACACTTAAAGCTGCGAGCCCTGAAAGCTGGCAATTTTAAAAATTTATTTGCAGGGTACTCTCTGATTTGCAATCGTGACATCCCCAGAGACGCTGTCCCCTCCTGTACAGCGCCTGTGACCCAGCTGATCCAAACCCCAGCCGTTAGACCCCCTCTGATCAGAATGACACGGGAGACCACGTGCAGGAGACGCTCCTGTGCGCGGAGGCGGCGGAGCACGCCGAGGTACCTGGCAGGTTTATTCATCTTTCGAGCAGATCTGACTCACGCAGCTTCAGTGCGGCTGATGAGCAGAGGCTCCTGGTATTATTCTGATTTGAAGCAGAATTGCTCTGAGACAAGCTGTATAAATTACAGGCAGCAAGGAAAAGGCTGCACAATCTTCTGTCATGTTTTTTACAACGAGTTCACTGGTTTATTATAGCCCCTGCAGTGAAGGTCAAGGAGAAACAGAAACGTCGGCACAGGGGAAGGCGAGGGCTCGCCCCAAGCGCTCTGGGTGGCCAGACCCTGCCAGGCAGTGGGCTGCGCCGTGGCCCTTGTTCATGAGCTCATTGGGTGAGTGGTGACAACGTGCTCCCCAGCTCTAGAACACCGAGTCGAGGGCAGGCAGGGGCAAGCGCATGTGGGCTTAGAGGATCCTTGCCTGCCACTTCCTTCCTGCGTCTTCTAGGAGCCCTGCAGGAAAGATCCAAAGACTTAGACTCTCTGTGAATGCAGTGTGCTCCGTCAGAAATCACGGCTAAAAAGGGCACGCCCTGGTCAGTGTCCCCACGTATCTCAGGGCCAGCTCACTGTCTGACGTCAAGTTAGTACCCAGAGAGGCAGCCTAAGTCTTTGCACATACTGTGTGGTCATAAAGCGGAATGATCCAGAAAGGCGTGGTGGGCCTAGAGCATTCTCAGGAATGATTCCGTGAGCTCTATTCCAAGGCGCCCAGCACCCGTGACAGGGCGGTCCGGGTGGGCAGCGTGGCCGACACTCGTTCCCCTCGATCCAGGCTCGAGAGAGCAGAGCTCCCGGCAGCTCAGGACAGAGGACCTGCTGGAGGGGCACACGCACCTGCTGAGGTCCAGCTTTTGGTACAGAGCCAGACTCTTGCCAAAGTACTTCTTCTGGGAGTCGAGAGCCTCCACCTGCGCGGCGCAGGTCCCATGCTTCTCCCATTCGTGCTTCCTGTGAGATTTTAAAACACCTCCAGTTAAAAGTAATGAAACTAACTCACAGTCAAAAATTTGCAAACGTGTTTCCTCTTAGACTAGTCACATGTAATAGGCATGTCATTTCTTCTACAAAGTGGGAAGGATAAAATTCCTTATTTGCAACAGGCAATTATGCCGCCCACGATTAGATAATCAGTTCCAATTCACGTCTACAGTCACGGCTCGCTCAGTCGACAACAAGTCAAAGCTGAGAAGAAGAAAACGCCACTGTTCCAAGACCCACTGAGTCACGAAGCATGGCGTGGTCTCCTGCAGGAGCCGGCGAGTCACAGCCAGGAGTTTCATGGTGGCACAACCGTCATTCCTAAGCAACTGGCCAGGAAAAGGGGGACATCCAGCTACTGAGAAATGCCTCGGGCCCACTCCCTATTTCAGCTGCCACAGCCACTACAGTGCACACGTCCTTTCCACAGGTGACGACGATAAAACTAAACAGCCCAACCAGAGGTCTGCAAATGAACAACAATTTGGATTCCAGAAACACGTGGGCACTGATAATTCACTACATTTTACTGCAGATTAAAGTCTTATACAATCTTCCACATTCTTCACTTGGTCCTCACAACACTGCAAGGTAAGATTATCCCTAGCTTAGAAATGGGGAAATTGAGGCTCAGGAGGGCTTGGTGCCTGGCAGAAGGTCACGCAGCCAGAGTGTCACAGAGCCTGCCCTGGAACCCACTCTCGGTCACAAGGCCACTGCACCCCCATCCCACCAACTGCCAAACAGGACGTGTTCAGGACGGCTGGACTCGTCACGCGGACGCCAACCACTACTGGCATGCACAAAACACGCGTCGGGTTTCCTCAGCATACCATCAATTAATTCATGAAGTTTTAACAAATACCATTCATGCAACCATTTATAAAGCACTCATACGCAGTCTCTCAAAAATGAAATCTAAATGTGCATTAACTCATTGGCAAGATCCATCCACAATACTAGTTTTAAATAACCACAATGGATATAAGTCTCTCAGACTAAGAAATCTATAAATTGAACATAAGAAGGATACGGGTGGATGAATAACTACATTTCTTCATCCAGAATAGTTTCTAGAGTGAATTATTTGATTTTTAAACTAATTGAATTATAACCTGAATTATAGGTGACTTAGTTTCTGTAAAACAGAAATGATTCTGGAACCTACTCCACTGAGTTATTATGAAGAGTAGTGAGTAGAAGCACGCAAAGCACTTCTACACAAGCAAAAATAGTTCTTAGCTAACAATATCCAGTAAATGTCAATTATTATTATTATTTCTAGAGCAAGCTTAACAATAGATGTTGGAGATAAGAATATATTAAAGTATTGATATTAATATATTATAATTCAAAGCATTTAATCACACATCATTTGGAAATGGTCGTTTTTTATTTACCGTCAAAAGTGTCAGTTACCCAACTGAAGTGACTGGGTGTGTCGCCCCCATACTTGGAGGTGCCCCGGCTGCCCACTGAGCACGGCGGGTGCAGAGCCGGCATCAGGGGCCACCGCCTCACCCGTGAGGGGCAGCAGCGTTCCACAGTGAGGCTGCGTCACCAAAATGAGCAGGACCCAAATCTGGTTCTTTTTCTTGTAAGAATCAAAAAGACAAACCAAAAAACCCTACTTTGCAAAGAGCTGTGTGCATAATACTTTTCAAAATGGCTAATTTTAGGGAATTAGCTTGAGCACCAAGTAATACCAAGACACCCAACTTTGCATATGTGATTCCATCTGAGATTAAAGAAAAAAGTTCTCGGACAGGCCTCCCCACCCCAGTGACAGCAGCTGTGGTGGTGACATCCAAGAACGCCTGTGAGGAGTGCTGTAGGCGACCTGAACAATGAGGACACAGCCTGGGGACGGTGAGGTGACTGGTGACGAGGGACAGCCCAGGCAGGGCCCCTCGGAGCTGCCGTTCGCACTCGGAGCACTCGAAAGTGTAAGTACTAATTAGTGTGTGAGCTTTATCTTTTTCATTTAGAACAAAAAAGTTTTTTAGGAATATAATTCAACTATTGAACCGGAAAAATTTAGGTAAATCATTTTGCCTTTATTAGAGCACAAAAATAAATGTTCACTTTGCCAACACCGTTTTGATTAAATATTGAAGATTCAGCCCACCGAAACCCTGTATATGTTTGCTGATTTCTTTTCAGCCATTTGGCTAAAATCTGACTGACTCCACTCTAGAACACTGTGACAACTGGAAAAATTATACTTCGTATACTTAGTTACCACAGAATCACCATTTGAAGTACACTGCGAAACGATACATAAATGTTTTTTCCTGTTTCCTCCCCTTCAACTCATTATGGCAATTATCTGCTTTGAAGCCACCGTTTTGAACACAGGCTGTGCAGACCAAGTGCTTCGGAACTGAACCATTCTCCACCCAGTTTTCATTAAGAGCGCGTCTCTTCATTTCAACTTACAAATCAGGGTCAGTGAACCCTAAAACCACTTCCCTGCCACACATCCTCTAGGAAACGTCACTCTGAACACTGATGAACCAGGAAGAAGGACATAGTTTTCATTCCATTTTGTTCTAAAAAGCTTTTTCCTAAACTTAACTTTTAATTTTCCCGAAAATTGTACACAAAAAAATATTTCTAGATAAATTAACCTTTTGGGGCAAAGTCTGATTAGTTGTAATCTCAATCATAAACTGCCACATTGGAGTTAGATGGAGAAAATAAAGAATTACCTTCAGTTAACAAAATGTAAATAAAAGGAGTATCAATTTCATTTACTTAAACAGCAGGGTTTTAAAAGCTATCTGGCATTAAACCCAGCATCTCGCCCGAGCTCGGTGCCTGCCACACTCAGGTGTTTCACTGCGAGAGACAGAGGAACTGGGAGTCTCGCCTTCTCTTCCCCCGAAGTCACAGGAAGGACATTGCTGCCTGAATGGGTGTCGTCTTTTTTCTTAATATACTTTAAGACAGCAGCACAGTTTCCATAGGAATATTCCCTCCTGTCTGATTTGGACTAATTCTTAGATATGCAAGAATCCTACTTTGTTAAACGTCAGTAGAGAAAATTTTTAAAGCAAAGTAATAAATGAAACAGCACATAGATTAGAAAACAGGTTTCTCCAATGGATAAAAAATGCCCTCATTTTTTTATGGAGAAAGGCACCAAAATGGCATAACGGCATCATTTCTAGATAAAAAGCCGCTCAAACTGCTCAGCCCCAGGTTCTCTGTGTGTCACCTTAGAACACGCTCAGGGCACCCCCACCTGTCTCGGGACTGGGGTGGCTGCCGGATGCTCACACTTACCAGAACTGGCTGCGATTAGGAGACGAATGAATTACATCAGGCCAGTAGGTCTTCATTTCTGGCAAAAGATCCTATGTATAATTAAAAAAAGAAAAAGTCTATGCAGGACCTAATAAACTCAAAACAAAACCTAGAAGGCAAATTTGATAAACTCATACATTCAAAGAATTGAGCTCTGCTAATTAATAACATTAGGAGAGTAAAATGATTCTGTGCTTATTCCACATGAAGTATTTAAGATACATCTAAAAGTGAAATTAGGCCAGGTGTGGTGGCTCATGCCTGTAATTCCAGCACTTTGGGAGGCCAAGGTGGGAGGACTGCCTGAAGCTAGGAGTTCAAGACCAGCCTGGGCAACATAGTGAGACCCTGTCTTTACAAAAAAATAAAAGTGCTAGTATGTGCCCATAGTCCCCGCTACTCAGGAGGATGAGGCAAAAGGATCACTTGAGTCCAGGAGTTCAAGGTTATTGTGAGCTGTGATCTCACCATTGCACTCCATCCTGGGTGGACAGGGCAAGACTCTGCCTCTAAAAAAAATAATAAATAAATAAATAAATAAGTGAAATTTGAGCAATCGTAAAGCTGCATGTGAAGATGCAAGCTCTCACAGTGAATGGATAAACTGCAGACAGTGGAGTACAGTCAGCGACAAAAACCAATGAGCTGCCAAAGAAAAGGAAACCAATTGCCAAGGAAAAGAAACCAGTCTGAAAGGCCACATACTGTATGATTCCAGCCATATGACATCTCGGAAAAGGCAAAATCTTAAGAGACAGCAACGAGATGAGTGGTTGCCACGGGCTCAGGGAGGCAGGAACAAGCAGGGTGTGGGTTTGGGCAGGGGAGCTACTCTGAGTGACACTGTGGGACGCTTGTCTTTGTGCGCTTGTCAGACCCACAGACTGCACAGGAGTAAACCCTAATGTGAACGATAAATTTTAGTTAACAATTAAGTATCAATATTGGTCCATCAATTATAACAAACATATCACACTGTCGGAAGATGTCAATGATACGGCAAACTTGAGGTAGAAGGAAGGGAACTGTCTGTAATTTCCACACAATGACAATTTTGCTGTAAACCTAAAACCACTCTAAAAAATAACACCTATTAAACAAACAAATACGAGCTCTCCTTGCCCCAGAGAAGGGCTTGTGGGAGCTGGGCGGCCTGTGCCCTCCCGCACCGTGAGGACAGTCACACCAAATCCAGAGGGACCCAAGTTTAGTTTCCAATGTCTACACACCTGCTAGACCAAAAAGATTCAATCCCACCAGCCCAAATAACTCAACCCCCTGCCCAGAGTGAGCACAGCTCCCTCCCCTTCCCCCGGCCCCCAGGGGGCGTCCACAGCACGTGCCCCGCCACCACTCTCCGACTCCAAACCCCCTGGGGAAGATCTGGCGGATGGTGCAATTTATCCTGCAAACGAGGCCACTTTTGCTTGGGCAATGCTGAGTTGAACGTTGCTGTACACGAGGGAACCAGGGCTGTTCCGAAGCAGTGGCTTAGGTCACCACGGACCCATGACCCGCCAGGGGCTGCATCTCAGCCTTCCTTTAATGGACCCTCTGGGGTATCCAACACCACTGTGCCTCTTCATCACGCCCCTCCTCTCTTGGGTTTCCTCCTTTGCTGTGTTTTTGCACACTCCTTTCCTACCCGCTGTGGACACTGGGGCTCTGACAGCCCCGCTCTGCCCTCCCACCCACGCCCACACCCACACCTGAGACCCCACCTCTCCACCCACGCCCACACCTGCCCGCCCCGCCCCTCCACCTACGGCTTCCATTGTGACCTTCATGCTTCCAGCTCACCTCTTCTGACATCACCACTTGGACATTTCAAGGGCACTTCAAACTCAGCGTGTCCCCAAGAGCCCATCCCTGGCCAGTGTCCCCTGTGTCTGGGAAGGGGACTGACTGCCCTGAACACCACCCGGCCATGGCTCACCCTGTCACCCTGGCTTCCTCCCAGAATCTCCAGAGCTCCGTACTTTCTGCCTCAGGGCCTTTGCACAGGCTGCTTCCTTGGCCTTTCTGGCCCTTCACCTAATTAGCCAGATTCTAGCTCAACCATCTCCTCCCTAGGAGCTAGCGCAGGCCCATCAGTTCCAAACTGTACCTGTTCTTTCCACTCTGGGCACCCATCACAGTGTGTAACCCTGTACATGGGACAACTTCGGTGGCACCCACCTTCCCGAATGGAAGCAAGGGTTCCAGAGACTTCCCCACCCCTGGCCCTGCAGCCACCTGCAGGCACTTGATACACCAAACCCATCTTCCTGTCCACTGGACCCAGGGCGGGCACGACCAGGTGTCTGGGGGAGGTGAAGCGAGTCCTCGCGGAGAACAGCATGCCTGGGAAACGTGGGACATCGCCAGGCTTCGGGGTATGCGTGGTAACCCAGGGTCCCCAGGCCTCTCAGGCCTCCTGGCTCAGACCACTGAACGTCCTTCACAGGAAGAAAAAAGAAAAAAATAATTCCACTTGGATTAGAACCTGTAATGGATTTGGGACTGACGACCTCGTCTTTTCAGGGGACGTATATTCCCGGGAAGAACCCGCAATTCCAGCAAGTCCTCCGATTCTGCTTCATGTTTTCGGGGAGGCCCCAGTGACCCCCCTGGACCCTCGACCCGCTTCCCTGACACGTGACTGATCACACACAAGGAACTGCTGGCACCCCCAGGGAGAGATGAGCGTGGGGTGTGTGAAGGTTCTATATCCCATGGGAGGTAGCAGTATCTCAGAAGAGCACTTCTCCTAACACCACTCGAAATTCCAGTCCTATCATTTATTCTTTAATAAGAGCTTTTGTACTGGAAAGGCTCCTCCCTGCCCAGAAACCCAGCCCGCCCTCGACCAGAACCGACAGCTCCGGGTCCCACGTGCCTGCCCTCCCAGCCACAGCTGTGCAGAGCTGCCTCCCACGCCCCACGCCGACCAGGTTCACGCTCTCAGTCGTCCTACCCAGGAGTCCTGGGGGACTGAGGACCAATCAGGTCCAGCAGGTGAGCGTAGGGTCTTGCGCAGCCAGGGCAGGCTTTGCCCCGTCTGAGCCACTCACACAGTGGTTTGGGCCCAGGGCAGAGGAGGGGTAAGGTCAGTTTCATTTAATTTGTGGGGTTGCTTTAGATATCAGTAATTACTAAAACAGTTCCAGGGGCTCAATCCTGATGAATACATTCATGACCCTGTAATTTTGTTTTATTTCAATTAATTTTTTTTTTTAGAGAAGGAGGTCTTTCTGTCGCCCAGGCTGGAGTGCAGTGGTGTGATCACAGCTCACTGCAGCCTGGAACTCCTGGGCTCAGGGGATCCTCTCACTTCAGCCTCCAGAGTAGCTGGGACTACAGGCATGCACCACCATGCCTGGCTAACTTTTAAATTTTTTTGTAGAGATGGGGTCTCACTATATTGTCCAGGATGGTCTTGAACTCCTGGCCTCAAGCGATCCCCCCAAAGTGCTGGGATTACAGGTGTGAGCCACCATGCCTGGCCATGACCCTGTAATTTTAAACATGACTTGGAAGGTATACTTGTGAAGAAAAGAGTTAATTCAGTTCAACACCGTGCAGTAGAAATATAATTAAAAGTCAGTACCTTAATCTCTTCTAAATTAAAGTGCCACGATCGATTACATTCTTCAGATTTATCAGGCCTTGAAATTCAAATTTAAAAAATAAAATAAGAAATATCAGTCTTGATTGGCATGACTTCCATATGACATTAGGAAACACTTTCATTAAAGTCTGCAAAGAACAAAAAGAGAAACTCTGCCTGGGAATCCCTTACCCCACACAGGCCGTTTGAGAAAGATGCCCAGAGACAAGCAGTCAGTCTGAGCTTCTTCTGACGAAGAAAGAAACTGTGCCAAGAACAATGCAGCACAGATGGCTTTCGGTAAACGAAGCCAAATAAATGGCCTCGTCTTGGGAGCTTCAAGGTCCACCCCAGCTGGGGTTGGAATGGGGCTCAGCAGCTTCCCCGCACGGCGATGCTGACCCCCTGACCCCTCCACGGACCCAGCAAGACAGCAGTAGGTCTACATCTCTCAACGTGAGGAGGATGCAACAAGGTGACATATACAGCTGACAGGCTCAGAAAGCACGTGGCATGTGACGTAAGATCAGCTGTGACTTTGATTTTACTTTTTTAGTACCAGACACACCAGCACTCCCTGCTTTTGAACCCCAACTCTGCACTCACGTCTGATTCTGGACACACCAACCCTCGCTCTTTAGCTGCTGCTCAGTGCACGAGGTCACCAACCTACTTCCTGAGATCCGGCCACCCCAGAGCCACAAGAGGGCAGGGGAGACAGCGTGTCTTCAGCGTCAACGGGCTGGCCCAGCAATCTAAAACCGGCACCTTTTCACCCCAGAGGATGCGAGGAAGCAGCGTTGCAAATGCTCGCTCCATGCCGAAGCACCATGCTGAGCACAGACAGACAGCACGTTTGCAGACGACAGAGGAGCAGGCATCGAGCAAAGTCCAGGAAAGCCGGAAGCCCCAGAACAGAAGTGTCGTGTCGCCCCAGAGCCCGGGGAGAAAGTGAAACCAGAAGCCCCCAGGTCCTGGTGGGTTTCTGCCAGTCCCTGTCCCTCAGGAGCACGTGGGGGCCAGCTGAAGCCAGACGGGCCTTCTCCTCTCACCAGGGCAGCAGGGCGAACGAATGTGCGCAGTTTAACGTCACAAGTGTGTGCACAAATAAAAAAGAATTGACTAAACAACACGCAGGCAAACCAGAAAAATGAATTTGAGTGTTTGTGAAATGTGAATAATATAGACACACACTGTTAATTTTCATATATTCATTTACAATAGACTCCAAAAGAAAAACGAAACGAGAAAATTAAAATTTAGTGATCCTAAAATGTTCCTGGGATACCTGAACACGTTTAAACTAGATTGTTACTATTCTATACAAACAGAACAACAAGAGAATTAGGGTTATGTTAAGACGAAAAGTACTTGTAAATAAGGATTTGATCTACTGAATAAACAAAAATAACAAATATAAAGACTAGACTTAAGCTAGAGTTCCAAGTCAGCTAGCTTCTCCTCCCCACTGAATTAAATTTTAACTGCGTTAGATACTCGCCACAACCCGTGTATCGTCCAGTAATGCGGAGGGTCTCTGCAGTCATTCTGCACCTCCTAGGGAGAGAGGACACGAGAAAATACTTGGTTGGTTGTTTATTGAAATACAGTTAGCAACCCTACTTCTTTCATCAACAAGAGACAGGTTCCGCACTGACACAAGATCAATACAGTGTTCATTTACAATAAATTCATTCTAGTAGCATGTTCGTGAGAAACTGCGCTGGCCTTCTAGGCCCTTAAGTGCGGCCTCTTGACTGAATCCAAATTTTACAGAACAAGTCCTTTTATTAAAAGGGTGCAGCAGAGAAAGACGAAGCTTTTCTCGCCTCCTTCGGAGCTTAAAAAAGAACCACCTTGAAATCAGAAGGCCGCAGGTTCCCCACCCCATCTGAGCCAATCCTCAAACAATTTAATTAACAGAAATAAACAGCTATTTTTGTTCTTTTTATGTGCTCACAAATTAAGTCAATCTGATGGAAACCCTATTGCTTACGAATAATTTGATTACCATATAATTTCAAGTAAATGTTTAAGAACAGAAGGCTCACGATACCTGCTAAACTAAAGCTTGCTCAGGTACCAAGTCTAAATCCATTAGCGAAATATTAAGTATTGCAAATCTAGAGCCAAAAAAATAACAAGTAAGAACAGTAATACATCCTTAATCTCAACAATAAAAATAAAATCAGAGAAATAAGTCTCAGTATAACACTTTTTAGGGACCTCCAAATTTATGAGCTAAATCTGAGATTTTCCACAATAAACAATCATCAAGAAATACTTTTGGACTGTCAGTCTGCAGGAAACAAGACCCCCGCCCAGCTCGCTGCAGTGAATAAGCAAACAAGAAGTAGAAGTTCGAACCCAGGGAGGAGCGACCCAGGGTCACGCTGTCCTGCCCAGCCCTTGCCTCTGAATCCCTTGTGCAGAAGCAGCTTCTCTCCACGGCTGGGCTGGGAACCAGGGAGGGGCTGGTGCAGGAGAGAAGCGCTGCCCCAGAACCACCCAGCGGCAAAGTGCAGGACCAGGTGACAGAGGTCGTAACTTCACCTCTGCCCACACCCCAAACCCATCCCTAAGGAAACCCGTCCAAAGCGGGCCCGTGTCCTGCGGGTATGTGGCCGATGAGGGGCTGTGCCAGCACCATGTCGGGGGCTCTCCACACACCTTGGCCCCAAGGTGGCCTCTGAGGGGCTGTGCCAGGCACCAAAGACCTGGTGGAGACGAGGACAGACAGACCCGGCACCTGTAACGGGCACATCTCTTCAGAGGGAGGGGCCCAGGGACAGCCTCTGCTGCCCAGGAGGAGCCTGCGCTGCTAGACAACAGAGCCCCTCATCACAGCCACCCAGTTTGAAATAAATTCCCTAACAATGACATTTTGCTAGTCATTGATTTGGTTTAACCTCATTTCTAAAGCCTCAAGGCAGGAAAGCACTGCCTGCATGTTTACAGCCATTACACAGGGACACACCCGCATTTTGCCATGTAAATGCCTCCCTCATGCGCGGGGCAGCCCGGTCCCAGGTCCTGAAGGCAGATCCTCTAGTGCTCTAGTTTTGAGCCCTTCCTCCACACTGTCCTCCTCCACACCCGGGTCCCTCAGCAGGAACCAAGGCCTCTAGTCACTCCCCACTGCCCACAGTGGGAGCCCCAACGAGATCCCCAGCAGACTAAAGCCCGGTGCCCTGCACCTCCATGCTACTCCCGCCCCACTCCCCCACCCCGAAGCAAAGGAACAGCACTACAGACAACACGTAAAGCCTGCGAAACTGAAAGCAGAGCGTTGTAATGTAATAAGAAAGACTTGTTAGAAATGAGTGTCCACATCAAAAGTATAACTTGGTGAGGAGGATAAGTGAAATTTCAGTTTCATTTAACAGAAAAATCAGTGAGGAAGCAGAAGAGCATATCATACTGGTCAGTGCTAGAGGCAAAGCCAGAGTGCTCCTTAAAGTACAGGAATAATCCACCGTACAGCAATTATTGGCTACTTCCATCTTGCAGTAGTTAAAAGGCCCCGAAATTTAAAACTCCCAAGCCCAAATTTCAGAAAGTGTCAGTAAGTTAGGGCTGGCTCAGCCATAGGATGAAACACTTTAGGTCGATTATGCAATGAATACAGGATCGGCTTTGCAAATAGCCGGCCCTGAGGAAGGAGGCTGAGGCAGGGTCCCCGGCTGACGGTGCCCCAGCAGGAGAAGCCCACGCACTGACACCCTAAAAGGACAGGGGCACAGAGCAAGACAGAGCCACACACGGAGTGAGGCCAACCCGGCGGGGAGGAGGGTGTCATGGGTGCCAAGCAGAGCGAAGGAGGCAAGGAATGGTCTGCAGCTCCTTTCCGCTCATGGGAGACTTTTCTGTTATTATTTTCCTTAGAAATGGGGTCTTACTATGTTGCCCAGGCCGGACTGGAACTCCTAGGTGCAAGCAATCCTCCTGCCTCTGCCTCCCAAGTAGCTGGGACTAGAGGTGCCCACCATGTGCCCAGCTGACATTCCAAAAAGATTTCAATAACACAGAGGGAAGGGACAAGCTGAAGCCTGTTGTGGATTGAACTGTGTCCCCCGAAAAGATACATCCATATCCTAACCCCCGTAACTATGAATATGACCTCACTTGGAAATAGGGTCGTTACTGATGTAATCAAGTGAAGATGAGGTCATGCTGGCTTGGGGTGGGCCCTAAACCCAGTCACAGTGTCCTGATAAGAAGAGACAGAGAGACACACAGTGGAGAACGCCAGGTGAGGGAGGCGGCAGAGGTTGGGGTGAAGCCTCCGTAAGCCTAGGAGTGCCAAGGATTGTTGGTCTCCACTGGAAGCTAAGAGAGCAGCAGCACAGAACAAACTCCCCCTCAGAACCCTCCAGAAGGACTCACCCCTGCTTACGCCTTTCAGGCTTCCAGCCTGCAGAATTGTGAGCAAATACATTTCTGATGCTCTAAGCCACCCAGTTTGGGGTACTCTGTTACAGGGGCCCTAGGACACTGGCACACACCCCTCCTGTAGGCACAGCTCCGGCCTCCACCACTGGCAGGGCGAGGACGCTGGCAGTCCTGCCAGCCAGCGGCACCCAAGGTGGGCACACATGCACGCAAACCAACTCTTCTGGAGATTCACTGTCTCCAAGGGGCCAGTTTAGGCAGAAAAACTCACCTCGCACACTGTCTCAGGCCAGTGTTGAACCAGAATTAGTTTTTTCCACTCATGGATGCCACTGTTAAAAAGACAAGGAATTTATTTTTCAAGAACTTTTTTAAAGTTACAGAAAAAATTAATTAATTCATCCTTCCATCCATCCATCCATTCAACATGGAGCACCTGGGGGACACTGCCACAATCAAAGCCCCTACCCACGGGAAGGGCACACTCCATGGAGGAAGGCTGTAGACCCCATAGCTAAAAACACACACACGGTGTCCCACAGTGTCAAGTGGCCAGGAACAGAAACACCAGAGCACGAGGACAGGCAAGGCGTGGGTGCAGAGGGGATGCAGCAGGGAGGCCTCCCTGGAGGAGAGTCATGGAGCCAAAGCGTGTTCTCCTAAGGACCCTCCACAGAAACACAGACCCAGAACCCTTTAACTGCATTTGTGAAACCCAAGAGGCCCTGAACACTGGAAAGTTTTTGTAATTTATGTAGCAACAAAACACGAGCTGAACTAGCACAAGGCTGTTTATCGTCACTACACCACTCGGTACTTAGATTCACTTGCTTCTACGCAGAATTAGTGTCCTTTGATTGCAGGGTGCTACTTCAGAAGCCACTAGGACTGTTATCTAGAGCGCGATATGTGCGCCACGCTGCATCACGTTACCTAGAACACACACGTATGTGGTGGCACAGTACCCCAAATCTGAAACTCATCTGAACGTAGGACTTCACAGAAGGAACTACCGGGCTGCAGTTTACCCACTCAGAACTCTAGGAGGCCGCTAACCATACTTGCGAGGCTTAACATACAAAGAGATTACAGCAGAAAGTGCAGGTGGCAAAAACACTCCATAAACGGAAAAAGTCAGCAGCAACACAGGAATATACTAATAACTAAAGCTGACTCTTAAATTCAGGGTAAATTAAATTTTAAAAAGGAAGATTCAAAGTAAACTAGATCAAGTTACACGTTAGCTTTTGTAATAATTGAATGTATAGAATTCACAATTAAGATGCTACGAAAACTTAGTTGTAAGTCTGAACTAATGATGCAAGCTCTTTGCACAAAGGAAAAAAAGAGATGACCTGCAGCACGGCAATCGGAGCTGGGAGAAGCATTCGAGGCTTTTCCCCGCAAGGTGCAAAACCCTTACTTCACACAGGTGGAAGGTCAAGCAACGTCCAGGAAGACTAGACTATCAACCACCAAGCTCAGAACACCTGAAACAAAATCTCCATCTACCATCCAAAGAGTGATGTGAGGGAAGGAGAATGTCCCCACCCTCCCGTACCCGAGCAATGGGGAGGCGAAAGCCAAAGATGCACTGAGCAGAGGAGAAACTAAAAATCACGTTTTCAAACCCAGTAAGGACTTGGGAAAACGCCTGCTGACCTGCGGGGCCCTCGGGGTCTGAACCAACTGGGCTTCCCCAAACGCGCCTGCTCACAGGGGTGTTCCTGTTACATCAGGGGCATGAACGATGGGCCCGGGGGGAACACATGGCACAGCCCAAACTCTCCGGCTAACGCCCATTGATTACTGTTGTCCAGGCGCCACTGCAAGCACAGTCTGCACCTTAACTGATGTCTCCTGACACCGACTCTGTGAGGCAGCTGTCATTATTTCTATTAAAACTTCGCAGAGGAGCAAACTGCAGCTCAGACAGCTCTAAGGTCCCACACCCGGATATGAACTGGCAGCTGCCCCTCAACCAGCACAGCCGACCACGTCTCCAGCGAGACTCTCGCCTCATGGCCGATAAATAGGTAAATAAACGTAGCTTTTCCAGAAAACACACTTTCTGGGAACACCGAAATAATATTACCTCCTAAAGTATATGATAAAACAGCAACGGCACTTAATTAAAAAGTAAAACCCACCTAGTATGTAAGCATGAAATCCTTCATTAACCTGAGCATTACCCAAATGGAAGAAAAAATTAAAATTTGGTATTCAAATCCCGCGTCCTCCACAGAACTAAGGTTGGAATTCTCGGCAACACTGCCTGCTCCCCGCAAGCACCTGCCGGGCGGGGGCGGTGGAAAGAAGGAAAAAGAGGAAGGGGAGGCGGGGAGCGTCAGGGACACGGAGGAAGTAGCTGAAAAAGAGGAAGCACAGCTGCTAAAACACTGCCGAGGCTTAAACGCTCCCTCCACAGCCTCCGGGAGAACGTCCAGAGCAGGAACCCCGCTGCGCCCCGCCCAGGCCGCTGCCCTCCGCAGGCGCCCGCCTCGGGCTGCAGCCTGGAGTTC